ACAGGAACTACCATGTACCAAATTGCTCAAACCAAAAAAGCAGGAGTGTCTGATTTATTTGCCTTATAGCCCCCAACTCTTTCCCCACCACTTTTTTTTTTTTTTTTTACACATGTCTTCCTGCTTCCACTCTTGCCCTCTGCTATAATACACTCACACACAGTAGTTAAACTGTTTCTGTAGTTAATCAAGCCACTTCACCTGCTTAATAAGATCCTGGCTCCTTTTTATAGCGCAGTCTAAGCATTGTGATTTTGTACTTAAACTCTGGAATGAGTTTGCCTGGGTTCATATTACAGTTTCATCATGTATTAGTTGTATGATTTTGAGCAAGTTATACTTTATGTATGCTTGAGTATTTTCATCTGTAAAATAGGGATAATAGTCTCTTACAGTTATGGTGAGAGTTTAATAAGTTAATAATGTTTACAACATACTTAGCACATAGTAAGCACTAGTAAAGGTTAGCTGCCCTCATCATTATCTTAATTATTAACAAACATCCGGATCTCTTGGATATTTTCACTCTCTCTGGCTCCCTTACAATAATTTGTTCATAGTGATCTTCAGTTGCAGAGAGAAAGGTTAAATGAAACCAAATGTACTTTGTTGAAGACAGGAAAGTGTATAATTTTGAAATATTTCTATCCCAAATAGTGAAAGTAAAAAACAGTGTAAGTGCTTAAAGAGGTTTCAGTATGAGACAGGATCATCTTCTAGAGATAAAGAAGGGAGGGCAGAGGGTATTTGAGTAGAGAGAAAGATTTAAAGCTATTTCAGAGAGTGAGAAAATAAACATACCAGGGAAGTATAATAGGATTGTGGGTTGGTGAGGTCTGTGTTCCTGTATGTAATAAGGTTGGGTGTTTTTCTTGTAGCAATGTTCAACAGTATAGACAGGGAATAAATAAATGAGTTTAATCTTGGGTTAGGCTAACCATAGGGACAAAGTTAGGATTAGAAACTTCTTTCAGCACAAGTTGCATAAAATTATGGAGTGGAGGGTCCTCTAATGTAACCTTTATCAGAAAGATAATTACTAGAAGATTCAGTGGTTTAAAGAATTAAAGTAGTGCAATTCAGATTTTGGTTTATATTTTGTTTTTTATATATGAGGAAACCTTATTCTTGAATTAAACTCATGATTTCTTTGCCACATGGTGGCATCATTGCACAAATTTACATAATTTGGATTATGTATCGAATTACTTTTCAGAGCACACGTATTCCTTGAAATTTATAAAGCCCGTCATTTAGATTCTAGAATCTAGAAGGTAGCTCATTCTTATCTTTGGAGTATAAAATTCTTAATAACTATAATCCAGTTCCTGCACGTTTTGGCCAAATTCTCATCTGTCTTCTCACCCCCACAGAGCTCCTTTTGACGTCATTGGAGCTCCCCATGCTGAGCATTTCGTGGGGGTGCAGAGCAAGGTGAGAGTTTGGGACCACTAAAGTTAAATAAGTATCATCTTAAACACAGTTGCCTTATCCATCAAAATTAAGAGTTTATTTCTTAAATCCATCATTGAATAGGACACTAGAGGGCAGCATTTATCCTTTTTCCATTTTTATCTTCATCCAACCTTATTTTTAGAAAACTCTTAAATTTTGTTTGCAGTTTAAAAAATGAATATGGTCAGATTTTAAGGTGTTTGAGACATATATTACTGACACAGCCACATTGGGAATTATCTGTATATTTTTGCAGAGAAAGGATCCTTTTATTCAATCTATATGTAATTGGGAATTTACAGTCTTGTCTATGTTGAAGAAAATTCCTAAAGGCAAAAATATGTTGCTTTAAAAGGGGGTTGTGATTAATGCACACTTGATGTTACCTGTACTTCTGATAAACACAAAATATTGAAAGCCTGAGAGTACCAGTGAGCACACCAATTGAGCAAACTCAATTTCTAGCTTTTTATTAGGAAAAAATAGCTTTATGCAAACATAACTTTCTATTTTGTCATAAATTTTGGAACATATTCTGGTTTCTTTCTGTAAATTAATCTTTTGGTCATATTAAAAAATTGTATTTTTTTGTCAGGTTATTCTTGGACATTATAATTGGCTCTCCTATGAGGATGTCTTCATTCGAGCTTTTAATTTTGGGAATGGCCTACAGATGTTGGGTCAGAAACCGAAGACCAACATCGCTATCTTCTGTGAGACCAGGGCCGAGTGGATGATTGCTGCACAGGCGTGTTTTATGTATAATTTTCAGCGTACGTAGGCTTTCTTATCTTCTAAAAGAATGGACTTAAAGCTTTTTATTATAATACTTCACTCTGAAGAAGTTAGAATTCTGATGTTATTTTCACCTTGTGTCCAATTAGTGGGGAACTCTTTGTTATGACTTGGAATTTTTGTTCTATTTTGGAAAGGGAATCAGGTATATAACAAATCGTACCAGTCAGTGTAGCTAGGGGGCTTGAACCTATTCATAGGGGACTTTCCAAGTCTGGGGAACTAGACCTACACTGAGGGCTCATTGCTCTGCTACCATTTCTCAGGAATCCCCTTTTGAAATTACTGTCACTTTGTTATGTCACTTCTGACAGTAATAGCAGTTGTCTAAAACACTTCCATACTCAAAGCTGGTGAACTTCAAGGTGCTAGGTTAGACGATAGAGAATTTTAATGCAATTATTTGAGTGGTAATTTTGACGGCTCAATCTGCGAGATAGTCCTGGAACCTTAAGTTCAGAGGTCTTGGTGCCAAAATGTGATGGTAATCGTGAATCTTGTCTCATCCTTCAGATGAAACAGAAATATACTTTCATCAGATTTCTTGCTGTAAATGCCTTTTTCTTTTAAACAAGCCTACCATATTTGTTTCATAGGTTGAAATTTACATTATGCTTCTTTTGAGAAGCTTTAAAAGAATTATCGTGGTTTTCAAAAGTCATTTAATATCTCTAACTTTTTTGAATTATGCAGAAAGTAAAAATCCATATTATTATTTGTATTACATAATTTTAGCATTTTTAGGATTTTTTTTTTTTTTTAGATATTTCTGCTCTAGAATAAGCAGTGCTGCCACTGCTTTATGCTCTTTTCTTGACATATAATGACTTAAATCTGACATTCAGTGTCATTGGTACATGTTTTTCATATTTTAGTAACAAGTAGCCAACAATTAAGATTTTGAAATTTTAGAAATCACTTATAATTCCTTCCCAGCATCACAGTCTCAGAGTAACATCTGTAGGTGAAATAAAATTTAAAAATCTTACTTTGAAATATTGGAAATCTTGAAATTAGGGGAGGGTAAGTGGGTATACTGTTGATTAGTGTGTTAAGATTTTTAAAAACACAACACTGTTTCTTACAGACTATGGATTTAACAATTTAGCGTTCAGAATACTCCATTGTGACTCATATCCACTTTCAGAGGCTTTGTTGACATATGATAGTAGTTCCTGAAATGTTTGAATATTTGACTTGATGCTGCTTTTCCTTGTAGTTGTTACTCTATATGCTACTCTTGGAGGTCCAGCAGTTGTTCATGGATTAAATGAAACAGAGGTGACCAACATAATTACTAGTAAAGAACTCTTGCAAACAAAGTTGAAGGTAAGGACTATCGTTACTTTGTAACTGTCTGATACTTTAGAATTTTCAGTGTTGTAAGCCTGATTATTGGTACTTAGTTCTTTTATGACTTCTCAGTCCTAATATCTTTGTAAACTTTTAAGAATATCATACTTTATTCCTTTCCTTTAGAAAATAAAAAGTAGACTTCACGTGTGTTCATATGTAAGTAGTCCAGAGTTATAAATTAATTGTTGATATGCCTATGTCTAAATTGAAGGAATTACAACTATTTTTTCTTATATTGTGCTCATCTATTTTCTAGTCTACTTTTAGTAATTTTGTAATATTGGGTTATATTTTAAACTAGTAATTATTTTGTTTCTGAGGTATTTAGTAATTATGAGTTTTTGGAATTATTTGTAAGTTTAAAGGAGATATTTCATGAAATTATGGTAAAAAGAGTTTTCTTCAGTCTCTAGAAAACTCCCTATATCTGGGCTGTTCTTTTAAAAACAAGTTTACATGTGAATTCCCTCCTCCTCTCCCCGTATGTTTTTATTTAGTCTCTAGAAAACACAAGGGGCTTTTGGTTTCTCTCTAGTTCAGGCAGCCTGTGTTTGTATGCCCATTTTGTAAGGCAGTACTCTTGATGAGAATTTTACCAAAGTACAGGGGTATACACAGTAAATCTAATGCTGTAAAATTGTAATTAATTCAGACCAGTATTTCTTCATGTGAAAAAAGTGAAGTTATGCCAGTGCACCCTTTCCTCTTGCTTTTTTAAGAAATTACTTCAATAATTCACTTAATATGGTAAGCTACTTTTCTTATGTCCTGAACTATTTGCTTAACTGTTTGAAAAATAATGAACATGATGAATGTTTGTGTATTTCTAGGATATAGTTTCTTTGGTCCCACGCCTGCGGCACATCATCACAGTTGACGGGAAGCCACCAACCTGGTCCGAGTTCCCTAAGGGTGTCATTGTGCATACCATGGCAGCAGTGCAGGCTCTGGGAGCCAAGGCCAGCATTGGTATGTCACAATTTGCTAATGCTTTATGTGAGCTCTCCAGTGACTATGTTCTCCAGAATTATGCCAGAGTTTTGATCCTAATGTTAGATCAAATGACACATGAGTTTTCTAGACTGTCAGTTGGGGAAGTAGGTCCCTCTAGGTCTACTTTTATTTAGCCTTTAAAGAAAGGTCTAAGGAAATACAAGTGTTCTAAAGTAGTGTTTGAAATTAATTTAAAATACTTTAACATTGTTCAGTTTTCTTGTTTCCTTTTTGTGATTGTTTTGGATGGTTTAAAGTTTGTTTATAAATAATGCCATTAAACTTTTGCTATGTGAATTACCTGTCAATATTAACAGGTAGAGTGGCCAAACTTGGAGGCCTCTTTTTTCTTGTTCCCTTTCCAGAAGGGTCAACCTTATCCTTCAACTAGAATAGGCATGGTGACTCTAGAAGTTCCTACTCTCAAATAAGTGTCAGAAAATATTAGAAAGTATACAAGTATTTAGAGATAATTGCAAAAGCTGCTGGGATGCTGGAGCTGTATTTCCTCTGTAGTTGAAAACTTAGTGATTAACTAGATATAAGTAATCACTGGCCAGGGTTATACTGACATTAATTTTGGTTATGTTGAATTTTAGGTCCTGATGGGATATTCATATGTGGTTATCTAGTGTGCCGTGGCATATACAAGTCTAGTACTCTGGAGTTAAGTTTGGAGTTAAGAGTTTTGGAAGCTAGAAGCAGTGGGAGTAGGTGAGGTCACCCACAGGGAATGAGTGGCCCCAAAGGTCACTGAGATCTAATCAGAGAGGAAAGAAGAAAACATCTAGTGTGTGGTTCATAGAACATAAGGGAAAGGAGGTCTTGGCTGGGTATCAGCAGGACCTGTTGCGTGGAGGTCAGATGATACAAGGATTGCTTTTTCCAAGAAGTGCTGTGAGTTGAAAGAGTGAATGACAGATTTGAAAGCAAAGACTTCCAAATGAAAACAGTTCTTAAGAAGTATATCTGGATGAGAAAGGTTATTCTCTTAGGAACATGTTTAAAGAATTTTTTCACACTTAGAAGCTGACATGGAGGGTAGTTCTGAGAGTAGTTCACACACATCAAAAACGTCATCCATGACTTATTTCTCTTTGTCTTTCTGCTCTGCCACCTCTGTAGCATGTTGGTTGCTGTCCTTAGGCTTGTAGTCTTGTGATTGCAAATGGGTTACATTGTCTTTTAATCTAGGGTTCTGAGTGTAACCAAGTTAACTTCGCCACTGTGAAACAGTAAATAGTTTTTAGCAAATATCTAGGTACCCTGTCCAAGCTATCTTTATTTCTTAGTTGAATTACTGGAATAGCCTTTTCTCTCCCTAATTCCTTTTTTCCCTTACTAAAGTTAGGTAGGGACATAGTAGGCAAAGTGATCCTTGTCACAGATGATAACATGCCCCTATTCAAAACAACACTGCTTTTCATCCAGAGTGAAATCCAAAGTCCTCAGCATGGCCTTTGAGGCCCTATGTGTGGTCCTGGCACCTACTTCACCTTGTCATCATCATCTTGCACACTCCGTTCTAGCCACACTCCTTGCTGGTCTTTAGATATGCCAAACACGTTCCTACCTTAGGGCCTTTGCGCTTGCTTATTTCCTTCTACTTGGAACATTCTTCTCCCAATTCCAGGGTTTTTATGGCTCCCTTTCTCACTTTATTCAAGTCTTTGCTAAAGTAACAACTCTACAGAGAGGATTTCCCTGACTTTTCCATCTAAGTGATATCTATTATAATCTTCTCACTTTGTCTTGCTTCATTTTTCTTAGTAGATTAATCTGTTTGTCTATCCCAATAGATGTATCTCCCTTATGTGCAGGGACTTGATGTGTTTTGTTGACCTCTGTATGAGGTCAATTAATATTTGTTAAATTGAGTTAACAAATAAATGATTATTAAAAAAATTGATGATGTGGCTGAATTTCTCAAAAGTGTGTTTGGTTGTTTTTTTTTCCTTCAATACAGAAAACCAAACTCATAGCAAACCATTGCCCTCAGATGTTGCAGTAATCATGTACACAAGTGGATCCACAGGACTTCCAAAGGGAGTCATGATCTCACATAGTAACATTATTGCTGGTATAACTGGGATGGCAGAAAGGATTCCAGGACTGGGGTATGTCACAGTAAAATAACATTGAGTAGTTCAGTATTTTTCTGTTATAATGTTAACATTTGTGTCCTTTTAGTGGTATAT